GAGAGGCAGTTTAGGGCGGCACTAATTATGGCATAATCATTTTGTTGGGAAAATGTGGTCCAGGACTTCATTTCAGTATCCAGAGCCAAAGAAAGGCGAGCTAACGGTTGCCCATTACCATTCCAGCTGTGGGCCCGTGACTACAGAGTGGGCGGTCTCATTGGACAGCTGTGGTGCACAAAACATTTTACGGCCACGGTTGACTGTCGAAATTGTTTTCACATTTCTATAAAAATCTGCAAAAGGTGACAAACCTGCAGCTTCACAGACACTTGCGCCCAAGTTTTACGCCCAGAGCATCAGCATCTGTCCCAGGTGCACTTTCTCATGGATTGAATAGCTCATATAACAGAGTTGCAAACACACGGCGCGTGGGTGTTTCAATACGCCTCATCCATATTCACGAGAGCTACAACACTCAGGTTTGATCCTTTTAAGGTACTAAACAGACAACGCCAGCACACATGGGTGCAGGTTCATCTGCTTTATTCCAAGATGTTACTTATATATTGTAGAACAAAAAAATGCAAAATACCAGTATTTTGCAGCTGACTTTGATAAAATAATGATGATTCTAGTCTGCAAAATGGAAGTATTTTTTTAATAAAACGACTAATTATTTGAACTGCTATTGTGCTTAATACTGATGATGGACATAATGCTAAAAGAACAGGGACACAGAATAATGGTCTACATCAATGTGAGACTAATGCATCTGCACTAAATGCTAATGCTAAACTATCCACCATTGTCACAATAAAAATGCTAACATGGTGATGTTAAGCGAGTTTGTACCATGTTCACCACCCTACTTTAGCATTTGTTTATTGGAAAAACATGCTGAGGTGAATGGGAACATTTTATACATATACATCTATATAGCAGATAGAAAATACTAGATTAAAAAATGTATGTTATAACATAAATTATTACAATTAATGTGTGGGGAATATTGCTAATTTATAGCAATTTTCAATCCATCCTATAGTTTAAACAACATTTCTCTCAACACCAGGAATGTGACCCTGAAGGTGGCGCGAGAGGAAACGTGAAGGTATCAGGTCAGTCAGCAGGATCCGTCCTCTCTCCCCCGTGAATACCTGTACCAAGTGTCACAGCCAACCATCCACTCGATATTCTGGACCAAAGCAGCGGGCTGAACGACTGACACAAACACATCGCCGTCTCCAGAGCTGCTAGCGCAGCCAAAAATAACGTGTCTCAGTGAAAGATCCGCCTTGGATCAAAATGACTGAACGCGTGATTGGGAGTCAGTGTGCGCAGGCTTTACTCTTTTCCTCAATGACTATTTCCACACCTGGATGTGATGTGTGTAACTTTGCTCCCTTGAATGTTAAGACATTTTGATGGATTTAATGTCAACTGAATTTCATTATTTTGGGTATTTTGTTTCCGTGACAGCGTCAGGATCACTAAATCATCATTTTCTGGGAGGTAAACCACCCCCCCGGTACGAACACTTAAACTGCCTTTTCTTTTTGATCATTAGCCCTTAAAGGTTGTAATAGCTGAAACAACGGTTATGATAAACTGCCTGAGAACTAGCACAGCGTTCAGGTCTCTTTTTACATCCTTTGGTCAAACAATAATGTAAAGCCCTATTAAACACGAGTAGGATCCGTAGTATCGGTCTTGGTAGAAGATACATTCCACAAATCACATCACTTATCATTATGTCAAAGGTCAATTAATACCCTGGAAGCTCGTTTCTTAAATGCCACCCTTCCTGATCATCTCTGTGATCATCTCTGGACTTCTAATTGGTGTCTCTCTACAGATTTAGTCCTCTCAATGTTATCTGAGGAAGGGGGCGTCAGAACGCAACCAGATATGGAGCTGACTGTGCTTATTAGATTACCAGGACAGAGTGCCATCGATTAAATACAAGAATTATCTGTGAGATAGAACCTCAGCACACAACCGTGCAGCAACTGGACCATTTCTGTTCTTTAGTTTAACCAACTTGTTATTTACCTTATTACTTGACTACTTGTGAGGTTCTGTGCTTGTTAAATAGTTCCAATGATAGAAATCGAACTTATTGATACTGTAAATAAAAGTGTTTTTTGCTTTCCTGGCAAAGTCTGCTCAATATTATCCGATGCAAATAGAATCAGGGCCGTAGTACGACAGATATGGAGCCCCGCACTACTTAACAGATTACCAGGACATGCGGTGCATTGATTGGCTGTAATATTAATGGATTGTGTTCAGTTTAAGTACTAATCCATACCATCAAACACAACGCGGCTTGAGTTCTGCCCACCTGAGCAGAGCGATCTGTGAGGAAAGTTTAGAAATTAAAAATATTTAGCTTGAATAAGTTATTTTTGGTCAGAGAGGCATCAAAGTGATCCGGACTGTACATCGTATGGCACATTTGTTAAGACATTTTGAGCTAACACACAAGGATACCTGTCCTGTTTTACTAGGTAATGTCCTCTACGAGAAAAAATGTATCTTTGCAAATGATTGTAAAGTGAAGAAAGCAAACATTTATGGCATACTAATGAGCACGGAGCTCAGTAACCTTAACGTTACCAGCATCAGGGAATAACAAGGTTCTCAGGGTGCTACTGTGTATTCCATTAAGAGAACACTGATTGCCATGGACCATAATGGACCAGATAGTGAATGTTAATTGGAAAAGAAAGCTAATCCAGAACTCCTGGGAGCTAAAACAATAACCAGACCAGTGCGTTAATCTGCAGAAGATGGTGCAGAGTCAAACGCTGCAGAGCTTTTAAATCATTTATGTTTCAGGAAAATATTCAATTACATAAACACCAACTATCCAACAAATCTTAAATGAAGTCCTTTTCCACCCTCAACTATGTGCAGAAGGAACAGAGAGTGCTACAGGTGAAGGTTCGATCCGATGCTGTTGTTGTTGTGTTGCGTTTCTCGTTGTGTATTCCATTTTGTCCTCCATCAAATCCCTGTGGGTTCCTCAAAGGAATCAACATACCAATTTATCGCTCAGTCTTCCTGCATGAATTATGTTGAGCCATTGAGGGTAACTGTGTGTACATGTGTGTATGTGCGTGCGTGTGTGTCTGTGTGTATTTGTGTGTTAATCTTTCAAAAGCACGGTCAAATAGTCAAATCCCTAAACCAGAGGCTTCATTAGCAGCATCCCCCTTTACAAACCTGTAGTACTCACTCTGGCTCCCCCTCTCTTTATATCGCTCTCGCTCTCTCGCACACAAACACACAAACACACAGACACACACAAACAAAGGAGCACGTGCACAAGCCTGTGTACCTGAGCAGAGATCAAAGGTCTGTCTTTAGGATGATCCCACATCAGCTGCCGTACTGTGCATACAGTGGGCAAATTTGGAAGCCGCCTCCAGTAAAAACCGTCGTCCTGTGCGGAGAACGACTACGACTTGGGACCTAACAACTAACTTTTCAACGTTTTGTGTAATTGACACCCTGCTTGCCCTGTTTGGATTGAACATGCTCAGGTGCGCTGTGTGTTTAAAGTACAGCGCACAAGCAACTGCTCCTGTGGGAGAAGCCGGGGCTGTGTTTCAACTAGCAACCCACACAGCGGCCTGCAGCGCCGGCATGATCCCCATCTGCTTCACTAACGGACGCTCGCAACAACGGAGGCAGCACCGAGAACGAGGAAGTTCGCCGACGGCGGGAGGGAAGGAATTTTATTTTGCTTTAGTTCATTGAATAAAAAGATGAAATTCCTCTTTAAAGAGACACGTTGTGGGAAACCGTTGGACGCAGCTCTATTGCTCCATCGGAGGCAGCAGAGAATGAAAAATACCAGTAATTCAAATCCGAATTAACAGCTGAATGAGGTACACATGGATGATTCAGTTGCCAACGTTCTCCCTCACAATAGCAAACGAAAAAAGGGACACAACAACAAGTTGTTTGTTTAATCCAGCAGGGTGTTTGTCGTGCTGTCTGCCAATAATACGCCCCTGGACCAGACATCAGTAGGGATCAATGGGGGCCAGCATGACTAATACATCAGACGCGGCCTCATGCTTCTAGTTGTGTTCGCTGTCTAAAGTCTTTGCCGCCTGCCAAGGGAGGCTGAGATTTAATATCTGTCACCATACGCTGACACGGGTGCCGATAGTTTGAACCCATCACCAAAGGAAAGCGTCGACCTCCTCTCAATCAAAGAGGGCCTCTTAACCTCCTCACCTCTCCATCCGCCTATGAATAACTTTAGTGGCATTCATCTCTTTTTGTCGTTGTCTTTTTCCTTCGTCTCTCTGTGACTTCCTGTCATCGCGTCACACCTGTGAGAAGTGCAATGAACTCAAAACGCACACACACACACACACACACTGTCACAATCCGTGTATTTGACTTCTGCACATTGATGGGAATACTGTCAGATCCACAGGAAGGAATTACTGACACTTGCTGAGCCCTTACGCTCGCTGTCAAATATACAAATAAAGACCTGGAGTACAAAGCCATGTATGAACACACACACACACACACACACACACACAGCTTCTATGGTTTATTTTGCTTTCGTTCCTCAATCCTTCTCACATGCATTAAAAAAAAACATATCTCCCTCTCACTGACGTTCTTTATCTCCCTCGCCTCCGACCATCTCTCCCTCTTTTTAAACCACTTTCTCTGCCCTGACGCGTTCACTTCATTCACTCACTTTGATTCAATCTAGTTCAAGTCAACAGTTGATTATTAACAAGGAGAAAAGAAAAAAGTAGCAAAAGCCTATTTTCCTCTCCTTCCGCCAACACTACATGTGACTCAAACCAGTTGTAAGCTTTCGGACTGTTGTTTATCAGGCTGAAAGATTAATCAACTGTGACTTATATTCAAATGCCCAGGAACCTTACTATAAATCACCATTATTTGATCATTGATTACATTTACGCCATCAGTAAACTACAACAATATTCCCTCGTGGCGCAACAAAAGGAAAACGAATAGAGACTCGTACGAACATCTCCGTGTCAAACATGACCTACCTCAGTGAGGTGCGGGTTGGGGTTGAATCCACACTGGTTGCAGACGGTGGACTTGCACTGGGTGCAGGTGTTGTAGTTGGGTGGAGCCGGCGGGTTGGACAGCTGCGTGCTGCTGCACACCGGGCACAGTTTGCTGCTCGGCATGGGCGCGATCTGCGGCACCGAGTAGGGCGAGGTGGGCGTCACGCCGCGATCGGGAGACCCGGACGGAGAGCGGCCTCTCCTGGAGCCGCCCGAGCCGCTGAAGTCGACTTGGAGGTTTCGGCGGGAGGCGTGCTGCCCGGGACTCGGATGACCTCCGTGGCCTACCGCGCTGGACCCGGCTGGGCCGTGACCCGTCCCGGGGCCGGGCCCCATTCCGGGCCCCATGCCGGGCCCCTGGGTTGACTGCATGTGTCGGGGGGAAGTCGGAGTCTCGTGAGTGGCCAGGCGGTAGGGCTCCCCGGGTCTGGACCCTCCTCCTCCACCTGCGCCCATTCCTACTCCCATACTTCCCATACCTCCTATTCCTCCCATTCCTCTACCTCCTGCTCCTCCCATTCCACCTCCACCTCCCATTCCACCTCCACCTCCCATTCCTCCTCCTCCGTGGCCTCCTTGTTGCATCCCAGGCTTGGGGCTACCCATCGGACCCATCGGACCCCTGGAAGAGAGGGACAAAGAAAGTCCTTACAACACTGAAAAAAACAGATTGGATTTTTAATGTTTGGAAAATAAATGTTCATGTAGCAGCTGTTGATTCAATGCTTTAACAACTACAGAATAACCAGGCAGGACATGAAAATGCCTTTGTAGAATTTAACACATCTTGTTGAAGCATTACCCTCAAACATTAGACTTAATTGTTTGATTTTGCAAAAATGGCTTACTAACAGAAACTAAGAAGGGAAAGTAGAGATAGTCTCTAATTGAACGACTTTAAATTCATACATATGTATTTGCTACTTGGGACCTTTCCGGCATTCTGATTTCACAATAGTAAGTTAGGCAACAAATCCTACTTGCAATTATGTTACTGTATTAATATTTTTTGCAGCAGTTGCAGAGTAAATGTAATAAGTGGCGCTGACCCCAGTATTAAATGAGAAAAATCTCTTATTTTATTGAAAGCATTATTGTAACTGCACTACAGGAGAGCCTGGCAACTGTCACTGTACGCAAACAAATTGAATTATTTTCTCATTGTGAGAGAACCAGAAGCGGAAACAACAAAACCAGCAAAATAATCACGTATTCATTCTCTTCTTAAAGCCGTGGAAAAACCACAGGCGTCAACAAATTAAAATGCAAAACAACACACATACAGACCCATTTCTACTGCGTGGCAAAGGCGGTACGAGCTTAAACCATTCAGGCAGAAAATAAGGCACATCCACGCACACCTGGACAACATTCATTGAGCGCACAATCTGGGCTCCCCGGTCATGTTTAAAGAAAGATCACATACTGCAATCCGCAGTGTCTCACGCAGGCCAGAGGATCTCTATTCTATTGTGCTCCACTGTGTGCGCTGTCATTGATTTAACGTGTATTCCTGCCTTTAAATGGTGAGTGCACAAAGAAATGGGAAATGCTGATTTACTGTCCGTCAGTCACACAACGTTCCAGAACGCGTGTCCCTTCAATGAAAGATATTGCTCTCTTTTTTTTCTATTCTCCTTTGTAAGCGTCGTAACTCCTGTTTTTACATCACAGTGCCGTCTCTCAACCACTCCTGTCTTCCTGTCTTCATTGCCTCTCTGTCTCTGATTGTCTTTTCAGTCTCCCGATGTTCTCTTCTCTCTTTTGTTGAATCTTACCTTTTTCATTATTCCTTATTTACGCTCCCGTCAGGGAGCCTCACGCAGCGCTAAATGGCTCTCTTCTTTTATCGCTCACAGAAACGCTCTTGTTGTTCAAAATGAAAGGCCGTGTAAGTGCGTGTGTACAAATTTCCCTATTTACCGCGGGGACGTCAGACTGCGTCCTGTAGTCAAACAACGTGTTTAAAACCTGAAAGATCAAGTTAAAGCAGCTGGTTTGCGGGACGGGAGCCATGTTTGCATGATGAGTTCACTGACTGAAGAATGCACGCCACAAAGGCTCACAAAAAGAGAGACAATGTGTCTTGAGGTCACAAGACACAGAGACGGCAAACCAATCCGAGACGCGATCACGGCGCACGCCTACTAAAGCGCACACGTGCAGCAGTTGTGTGCAAGGTGTGAGCTGCTGTGTGGCGCTTCAATTCCATTCATTTTATTTTGTGTAGCCCAAAATCGCAAATTGCAAATTTGCCTCAGAGGGCTGGACAGTCAGTTACTGTAGAAATACGACATCCTCTGTCCCAGGAACCCACACATCGGGGCAGGAAGATGAAAAAGACTTCCATGGGGAAAAAAAGGGAAGAAACATTAGGGAGAACGTCAGAGAAGGGATCCCACTCCCGGGATGGACGGACTACAACGGATGCCATGTGTACAGAATGGACAATGTTAAAGAAGAAGTGAATCACAATGTAAAATGCTTGTGCGCGTTAGAAGGGTGACTCAACAAAAACCTCAAAGCTTCTGTGATTCACCCAGCAGGGACGTTAAAGGAGATGGGATAAGAAACGTAGCGGTGACGGCGGTAAACGAGGCAGGAGGAGAAAGAGAGTTGCACTCACAGTTAAATTAAATCTATATTTTGCACTTTTGTCAAATACTGTGAGCGATTCTATGCTCATACTTTGATCCTGGCATGTCGGGCAAAGTAAGCTCATTCAAGCAACTATACTAATTTAAATACAGTTTTCTCATTTCTGTATATTTTACAGAAGTGTGTTTAGTTTGCTACTTGCATATCGATTTCGTCTGGAGGCAATATTCTTCATATACATGCTTCAACGCATACAGAGCTCAGCTCCCGTTTTGCCTAATTAAAGAGAATGCTGCCTGGTGTCCTAGAGAGGTTTTATACACACAGAATTGTGGAGTCTTTTCAAAAATATCACAGACATTGGAAAATACCGTGTAAAATCTGAACATTTTTGTCCGTTGAAAGCTTTGGCTTTCAAAAGCTGATATTAGTTCAATCCCATTCAGAGATGGACCCCCCCCCCCCCTCCAATATTCAAGGTCACAGACAGAGAAGAGTGTGAGGGAGAAATTCCAAATGAACAAATCTAAGAAAAATGTAGAGGGAGCGGGAGAGAAGAGCCAGACACAGCAGTGAGAGCGCCGTTTTCATGTTCAGGAAGACTCCATCACTGATTATTGTGAGAAACTAAGGCTGATGTGGGCGACAACCTGAATAACAAGAACAACCCCTCTGTGTGTGTGTTTACACACTTTGCCTCTGCATTGCAACGGGCACATTTATCACTGTCGCAACGGGCCTTTAATGACCCGATACGAATGCTTGTTCAGTCAAAGTGATTCCACCCAGCCCCATTATAACATCATAGCCCACAATCTACCGTCTGACTGTGAGAGAGGGATGAAGCTCGCCTGCCAATCATCGGGAAATGAGGAAAAAGACAAACACATCTATTGAGGTTATTAGTGGACCAAACCAAACCTATGTTTCCTCCTCCACCTCCTGCGCTACTCCTCCTTTGCTTGTCTCCCCACTCTGCGCTGTTGACAGAATCGCTTTTGTACGGCCCATTTATTTCCATCTGTCTTCTCTCTCATTCTCCTTTGTCTCCACCTTGCCTTTCATCATTTTCTGTTCTCTCCTTCTCTCCTCTGTCTCCTTTATTCGTTCCCTAATATTATCAGCACCGATCTGCTAACGGAACCTTTTGTGTGAGGGTGGTTTTTACAGTTGTAATCAGCCTCTGCTCATGAAATTCACCATATTGGATTGAGAGGAGACCAGTTAGCTACACCAAAGATGTCCAACTCAGCTGATTTGAAATAGCTTTGACGAAATAATAAATACTATAACGGTCTGGTTAGCATATGGTTAACTCAATAAATATCACAGATGCAAAATTATTATCGCTGGAGGAAAAGAAATAATGTGGAAGCCCAAATTGTACGATGCATTATTACAGTATGTAAGTGCTTGGAAAGGATAACGCTTTGTTATATAATCAGGAAGCAGCGACACATCGGCACAGCTGTGCCATTAACAGTAAGACTCATTCTCACACTCACTCACACACACACACACACACACACACACAGAATTGGAGGCACAAAGAGACGCGTAAACTGTCTAAACACCCATACCGTACAGACTGCACGTGTACTGATGGCAGTGATTTAATGTTACAGCGCAGTGTAAGAGGCTTTGTAATGATACCACATGGTGCTGATTAAAGGCCACAATCACTGACCTGGATTCAAAAGGTCAAATTCTGGAAGTGCAAATGATATCCAACACAACCCCAAACGAAACCTTCCTAAAGCACATCTAAAGAAGGGCATAGTGGACGGAAGAAACTGGCTGTAACCAAGGTGTTTTAATCCAAATGAATTAAATAATGGACACGGTCGTCATCTCTCATTAAAATCCCCTGTGGTGGGTGCAGCGTAGCCCCGTCTCACCAGGTGCTTGATTTACAGTGAGAGGCTGGAGACTAACTGTACTCTACGATACCAAGTGCCAGTCAATGCAAGCGCACACATACACACACACGTGTATTTTGCTGTAGTCAGCCAGATGTCCTCTTTATCTATTTATGTCTTTAGCCCATATCTTTGTACCCTTCTGATTACCATTCTCAGCAGGTGGATTCCACAGATGACAGCCGCTGTTCTGTCGATTAAACACTGTGTGTGTGTAACGATCTTTGAATTTTTGAAGTTTGATATGTCGACATTGTCTCGCTGGCCTTTTATTGACATTTGCAGGTGTACAATGTGTGTGTGGTTATTGTCGTGCTGAATCTGTCTCCAGCAGATGTGCCATTACTCATGAACTGTGTGACGACAACCACACACCTGGCTACATTTACCTCTCTGTGTGAGGAGAAGCTCATCGTGAGGGAAGCCATCAACACCACAGTGTGAAACAGATTGTTCATGATCAACTATGCAAACACACACACACACACACACACACACACACACAGATTCCTGTGTCTATAGTGGCAATTAATATACCTGCATATGAATCAATCCAAACAACCTCCATCTCTCTCACACACAAACAGCAGCAGCAGACACGGATGAAGGCTGAGATGCATAATGCCATCAACTCGTCTCCCATTCGAGGCCCCACAAAACCAAATTCATAACAGAATATGGATTTTTTTAAAGATCTGTCTGTGTTATAGCTCTATCGGTGGCTCGACTCCTCTCAACTCGCTTTCTCACGTCTCAACGGACGGTTTATTTCACTGAGCGATTATCCTTCGCGTGACAAAGACAAATCTCAGTGCTGGTTTCTTAGCGGCTGTCATTTCAACTGACGGTTGAGTTAACTTGCTCGAAAACTGTCTCACTTGGTGACTTTGCGAGCTGACCTTCTTTCCAAGGTGACATCCCAACAACGTGGCCGCAGGTACCTGCCTTGCTGAGCGGCTCGGCGTCAGTCCTACTGGCAGAGTTGACTCAATAGCCAACGCTTTGTCAGCTTAGTCACAGTGCGTGCCTCTCCTCCAGCCTGTCCTTGTGTTCTCTGTGTGTCCCCTGCATGTCTCCTGTGGTCACCCCGTGTGTCCCCGCGTGT